CCTCACCAAACTCCTCCCACGCCCGAGATTTTGCCTCGGCAACTGCCACTGCTGCACCCCACTTGGCTATCCGGTACCTGTCTGCTGCCTCCGGAGACCCACAGACCAGCCACGCCCTGTAGGCCTCCTTCTTCAGCCTGACGGCTCCCCGAACCTCTGGTGTCCACCAGCGGGTACGGGGGTTGCCACCACGACTGGCACCAGCCATCTTGCGATTACAGCTAGCAACAGCCGCCTCAACAATCGCAGAGTAGAACAAGGCCCACTCTGAGTCAATGTCCCCCACTGCTCTCGGGATGCGGTCAAAGCTCTGCCGGAGGTGGGAGTTGAAGACCGTCTTGACAGGTTCTTCTGCCAGGCGTTCCCAGCAGACCCTCACTATACGTTTGGGTCTGCCAGGTCTACGCGGCATCATCCCCTGCCATCTGATCCAACTCACCACCAGGTGGTGATCAGTTGACAGCTCGGCTCCTCTCTTCACTCGGGTGTCCAAAACATACGGCCGCAGGTCAGATGATACGACTACAAAGTCTATCATCGACCTGCGACCTAGTTTGTGAATCAATAAACAGTTTTATGGAAATCTTGGAAATTTTACTTTAAATTGTGAAGACATTTTGTGCTCTGCATGTTATAGTTTACCTGTAGAACGATAAGGAATGAGCTGTCTGAATCCACACTGTGTTGCACGATTCACTGTGGTAGAGTGTTTCTGACCAGACATGCAGTCATCCATCATGTCACATTGTGTCACAGGAGATGCAGCTGCTTCAGGAGTTTGTTCTGTTGTTTCGACTTGTGACAGATCAGCTATCATCTGCAAAGCAAGCATACAAGTATGTACTTGAATTTAAAGATCAACATTTAGGGCAAAAAAAAAAACATTACAGAACTACTCATCATAAAAGATGAATGTAGAGACATAAAATGTTGTTTAATGCATACAAAATCACAAATGCTTGATTTGGGTCAGAACCTCTCATAATTTTAGGAGTCAGCAGATTGCCATGGGGATGTCAGCCCTGATAAATAGCCCGGCATGAATCTCAAAATAACACCTGGAAACTACACTAAAGTAGGAGAGATATTTGAGTGTTTTCTAAAAAACAAAAACGTACACAAACATTAGCCGAGCCCCTCAAGTGAGCTTAGCTGTACAAAATCACGTTATGAACTGGTGAAGCAGCTGGTTGAAACCAGAGGCAAGCAAGGGTTGTTCGTGGTGCTCAAATGATTATTTTAACCAGAATCACCATGCCAGTTATTTTTCTGCTCACCGTGATTATAGAGAAACTTTATTTGTTACGTAACGACGAGGTGTGGTCAGCTTATCTCTCACTTAACTGGGCAATTATAGCCTAACACGGCTAAATTTAGACATTATTTGTATTTGTACAGTGGTGTGAAAAACTCTTTGCCCCTTCCTGATTTTTTATTCTTTTGCATGTTTGTCACACAAAATGCTTCTGATCATCAAACACATTTAACCATTAGTCAAAGATAACACAAGTAAACACAAAATGCAGTTTTGAAATGATGGTTTTTATTATTTAGGGTCAGAACAAAATCCAAACCTACATTTTAACTAAACTAGTTTACTTGGTTTTACCTCAGCAACTAAAAATGACCGATTTGTTGTTGTCCTCTCGTTTGCCTCTGCATTTACCTCTGGGCACGTCACGTGTCACGTGACTCTAACACCGCACGTTTTTTGGGGGCACTTGCTCTCATCCCTTAATTTAGTATTTTAAACATCTGCTAGTTGTATGGAAACCTGGGAGTATAACCAAAGTGGCTTTTTACATTAGATTATGCTTTTTTTTTGCCATTTTAAAGAACATGAAAGATGGCCTTTTAAGGAGAAACAGGACAGGGAGGGGAAGAAGGAGATGAGGCAAACAAAGTGAGTGCGACGTAGAGAAACCAGACTGGTGTGGAGGTGAGCAAAATGGCTGGAAAAGTGTGGGTGTTGAACTATCTCAATAAGAAAAGTGTGGGTAGTGAACCCCCCCCCCACATCCCCCGCGGGTGCGACGCCCATGCCGCCAACTGAATACAGTAGTGGCACTGTGCCCACCAGTGATAAAAGTCAATTTAAAGTTTTGTTTTGACTCTTACACACTCAGGAGGACACACTCTCTCTCTCTGTCGTGTTGTGTGTGTGTGTGTGTGTTTGTTAGTATATATTTGTTTGTGTTTTCAGTTGCAGCTGGAACATTTGGTTTATTTGGGACTGAGCCTTCTCATTCATATTCAAAGTCTTTGGAAGGTTCTGCTTGACTTCTTTCTCTGTCTCTCTCTTTCTCTTTCTCTTTCTCTTTCTCTCTCTCTCTCTCTCTCTCTCTCTCTCTCTCACACACACACACACACACACACACACACACACACGCACACACACACACATGCGCGCGTGCAGCAGCGGGAGGATCTTGTACACAGGGGTACTGTGTACTTCCTGGAGTCACAACTCTACTTTTTCTCTCCTCTGACTTTCGTCAGATCCTTTAATCCTGCGTGGCTGAGTAACTTCCGAGCAGCCAAACACCAAACTCGTCTGAACTTTGATGACCAAAGTGTTTCAGGAATGGAATTGCTGGGGCAGAAATCAGAATACTTAGACAACAACGGTTTCTCTGTGTGAGCAGTGGATGCGTGGATGGAATGTTTTTAAACAGCATTTCCACATATATGAATGGAATGGTTGGGTTATTGTTTTAGCATCACTAGTTGGTGCTGCATTCAAATCTGAAAAAGAAAATCTGATTATTTTACTTGATATGATGTCAGTTCATATCTGTAGCCCCCTTGGCTATGGTAACCCCAACTGACTCAACAGATCTGGACTGTTGGTGTTTATTTTGGGAGCCCAGAGGAGCTCAGAACCCTTTAGGGGATCCATGCTCCCCTGGCTCCCCTCTAATCTGAACCCTGGTTCTTGTGAAATAGGGGCCAGGTGAAAAAAACAACACATTCAATTAAGTTCTGTGCATAAATCTTTTTTTGTTTTTGGGCAAACTGCTATTTTTGAAGGGGGATATTGAAGCAGCACACATTCTTTAGACTGCAAGCACTCTTTCTTTTTATGGAAATTTAAAAAGCAACAGAAATGAAAATGGAAATTAAACTATGATTTTAGTGTAGTATATATATAAGAAACATTTAAAGCCAAATTTTACATTTACTACATAAAACGTCTTGCAAGTATTGTTTTTATTTTAGAATCGAGTCTCTTGAAGTAAAAAACCAGCTCTGTCACAACCTGTCCTGTCTCCCCACCCTGTTCAGTCCTGTGTCTTTTAATTGCTCCTACCTGCCTCCCAATCACTTTAGATCCCAGCTCCTTGTGTATCTAAACCCTTCCAGAACTGTGTTCCTTGTCCGTTCATTGTTTCCATGTCCTGTGTGTTCCTTATTAAAAACAGCTTAAATGTCTGCCTGTCTGCCTGCCTGTGTTATGTAGCTACGCTTCTCTAAATCTGGTGTAGCGTTATTTAGTTTTATAGCAAAAATGTCTTTCTCTACAAAATAACATAATTCTAGCTCACCTCCTTTCTTGACTAATTGATTTTTGGGGCCAATGATTATTGTCTTTCAGCTCCAATCAACCATGTGCCAACAAAACCTCCCAAACATACGGAGTGTTTAATTTGCGATAAACTTTGCGTTTAGTGTCAGATGTGAAATTAGCCTGCAGCAGACCTCCTCTCGTCAGCTCATGGTAATATTCATTCATTATAAAGTCCCAGATTGGTTCAGTCACATCACATGAATGACATTTTTTTTTTAGATTTTACAGTGTATTCAATAGATCTGCAAATCTTTTTAGAACGAGGTCAGGAGGATTTGTAGCTCATATTCTACAAAAATAGAAAAAAAAAGCCAACTAGTGTTTTTAATGTGTTCCTGTTCTATCCACATTTACCTCTGCAGGGTTATTTTGCCAAACATCCATAGATCATTGCTTTAATCCTTTTCTACAGGAACATTTTTATTGTTTCTGATCCCAGAACCATTATCAGCCAATAAAAAGACACTCTTATTTCTTTTTCTTCTTAACTGCTGCACATTTTCAGCTTTACAATCTATAAAACTGCAGTTGTGTTCATTGTGTTGTTTTTATGAAGGCACCGCACAAGATGCAATTTCTGCAAAATAAGCACTGGAATTTGTGCATAATGCACATTTTTACATTTTCAGAATAACTGAGATGTTTAAAAGTGATGTAGCTCTTTGTTGATGCGCTCATGCTTTTGTGTACACTGAGGCAAAAAAAACTGCAGGTTTTAAAAAGAGTTCAAGAATCCAAAATAATTTTAACCCTCTCAGGCTCAAAATAAGTTTTGATAAAAGGATGAACAACTAAATCCTTCAGGACTACATCTGAGTTAAAAAATGCTCATGAAATACGTATGTGGAGTAACCAGGTAGTTAGGTTTTAACGTAGCAAATCCACCTTCAGAGGGTTAATGTGCCAAATTGCCCTTATGCCCTTTAATTTAATGCATTTGTGTTGTTTTTGTGGCAGTTCTGCATGTGTGTCATCAAATCTGCCGGGGCTGGGCACATCAAGATGCTTTTGCAAGTCAATGAGGGAAATTAAGCCAAATGTGTCTTAAAGCTTAACCTTCTGTGGAAGATGCAGAATCTCTCCATCCCTCTGTCCATCCTCACAGTCACAAACAACATGATAAAAGTCACCTGAAATACAGACGCTAGCCCTGGGCTGCATAAATAATGCAGGGCGACCCACACTCTGATAAACTTTACACACACACACACACACACACACACACACACACACACACACACACACACACACACACACACACACACACACACACACACACACACACACACCTGTCAGAGACATCTGATGAGCTGCCTCCTTCACAAACACACTCCTGTGTACAGATTCTTACAGATTACTTAAGGAGAGTAAATTTGGTGCTTTTCCGTGTTTTGTGGTCGCACCTTCATCCTGCTTGTCGTTTTTCATGTAGGAAGTTTCAATGGAGACATCGTTGTGTGGAACAGCAGCACAGAAAAAGCTTTGCGGAAACTACAGCAACAAGGTGAAAATCATAACTATAAAGTGTCACTCATGCATGCAAAAATATTCAGTCCTCTGCAGTCACTTGGGTTAAATTCACTCTCCTCCATCTTGACAGAAAGATGGAGTCTGCCTCATTCTGCAGCATTTAATCAGTCTCCTGTCATTTTTTCTTTGACTTTATCTCCCAAACTTTTACTCAACTCACACATGGGGAACCACTGCTGGACTTTTTACCGGATCAGAGAACTCCACTTCCATCACCAGATTGGCTTTCCTACCACGACGAACTTTGGATAAAGGTAAATTAATAAAATCTGGAGACATTATAAATTCAATCTCTTGGACACTTGAAATGAAAAACACATTCGAGCCATCTACTATTATCATGTTGGATGGCAATTTCTTGACCCATGACATGCAGAATCAATTGCAGAAACAGGCAAGTGTAAAAAAAAGGTCTTTATTTTAAATGAGGAACTAAAGGAGTAATGGGAACAGAAGACGCTTGCACAGGTAGCAGGATTCCAGAGCGAGTTTCTAAGGAGGGAGACAGAGTGAGTATCAGGTGGAATAATTTGGAGATTTTGTAACAGGGGGGAGCTGTATTTTTGAATTGAATTGAATTACCATTTTCTGGTAGTGGTAATGGACACGGGGAGGGCTTTGGTCAGCTCCGGGTGAGCTGAGGAGATCCAGAAGGCGCAGAAACTGTTTAATCCAGAGATTATGTAGGAGCGGAGGCTGAAGAGGGCAGGTGAGTGGCTGAGGGCGAGCGGCCAGGAGAGGAGGCAGTGTGATCAGGAGTGCAGGAGTCCGAGCTGGTATGGAGATGATGGAGTGTGGAGCATAACCTGGAGGAGAGCAGGAAAGAGTTGTCGGGACTTGCCAGGAGGCAAGTTATCTGGCAAACTACACGAGATCTAGCAAAGAACACAGGATTGAGACAGGTTAGAGGCTAGACCTACCCAAACGGAGTAATCAACCAGCATGGTGTCTTATTCTTCTTCTGTTGTTTAATTGGCGGGTGGCAACCAACTTTCAGGTGCATTTCCGCCACCTACTGAATGGGAGTGTGAGTCGAAGAGGGGAGTATCCTACTTAAAAAAAAAACAACTAAATTCTATCAAGTAATCCACTGTCCCTTAAAAAGTCTATGATTAACTTATACACCACTAGTCCCCCATTTAACAGAATACTCAGCTCAAATTCCTTATATCCTTTAACTTTTAATTTTTCAACCAACAATTTCCTATTACCCACATATTTCCTACAAGTACATAATACATGTTCTACTGTTTCCCTATCAAGTCCACAGTCACACATACCGGTATTATGCCGTCCAAGAATAAAAAGTGTACTGTTCAAAGCTGTATGTCCCAGTCTCATCCTTGTTATCACTGCCTGATTTCTGTTACTCATTTGAATGATTTCCATTCTTCCAACCTTTCCCTTTAATTTGTATAAATGTCTTCCTTTCACGTCCCTTATCCATTGTTCTTGCCATCCATCCAGAATCTGCTGTCTAATAACTGATTTCACCTCTGCAACACTGAATGGAACCTCCATCACAGTATCCAGTTTTGTTGCCTGCTTTGCATAATAATTAGCTATTTCATTACCCTCTACTCCACTGTGAGCTGGAACCCACATAAATCTAACCCAGGGGTCGGCAACCCAAAATGTTGAAAGAGCCATATTGGACCAAAAAAAAAAAAAAAAAAAAACAACAAAGAAAAAACAACCAAATATGTCTGGAGCCGCAAAAAATTAAAAGCCTTATATAAGCCTTATAATGAAGGTAACACATGCTGTATGTATCTATATTAGCCTACTATCAAAATGACTAAGTTGGCTACAAATACATAATGAGCCTTCATGATTAAATGTTTATTTTTCCTGTAGCGCATCCTGTAGCGAATGACGCACCACGTGACTACTCTGTTGTACGATGCCGCCTCAAGTTTAACTTCATTACAATATTAATGAATCATGTTTCATTGCTTTGATGAAATGAAAGAAATGCAATAAAGAAATCCGATTTTTGATGTCATTTTTATTTTTGGATTCGAAAAAACAACAAAATGGAACGTGCATAACGTGCCCCTCATCGGGGCAACAAACATTGCAATAAAACGCAGCCTGCATTTATAAAAATGACTCCTTCATGTAGTCACCATCTGTGAATGGTTTTCCATGCTTTATTATCTCCCGGGTTGCAACAAAACTTGCAGCAGTAGTGGAGTTTGGAGATGCAATCCACTTCTTAAATCTATTTTTGCGCTCCTGTAATTTCTCCAGAAGTAATGCAATCACACTTTTTCTCTCACTCCCAACTGGATACTCGGCTGCAAATGTACAGTGGGGCAAGAAAGTATTTAGTCAGCCACCGATTGTGCAAGTTCTCCCACTTAAAATGATGAAAGAGGTCAGTAATTTACATCATAGGTACACTTCAACTGTGAGAGACAGAATGTGAAAAAAAATCCATGAATTCACATGGCAGGATTTTTAAAGAATTTATTTGTAAATCAGGGTGGAAAATAAGTATTTGGTCAATAACAAAAATTCAACTCAATACTTTGTAACATAACCTTTGTTGGCATTAACAGAGGTCAAACGATTACTATAGGTCTTTACCAGGTTTGCACACACAGTAGCTGGTATTTTGGCCCATTCCTCCATGCAGATCTTCTCGAGAGCAGTGATGTTTTGGGGCTGTCACCGAGCAACACGGACTTTCAACTCCCTCCACAGATTTTCTATGGGGTTGAGGTCTGGAGACTGGCTAGGCCACTCCAGGACTTTCAAATGCTTCTGTAGCGTTGTGGTTTTATGCTCTTTTATGAAAGAGGAACCATGCTACGTATTAATTCGGAATATTAATTTTTAATAAATCAATAACCAAATTTTATATTGTTAAGAAGACTCAAAGGTTGTTTTCATCGATAAACTGCCGATAATATCTGAGTGTCTGTGTTTCAGTTCAATGAGGAAACCAGTTTGACGATTAAAAGTTTTAATTCTTCAAATTAAACTAATGATTTTGAAAATTGACACACAGGAAATAACAATCACATTGGCAACTTCGTGGGATAATCTTTAACAGTTGATATGCTGTTCTTGCTCAAATAGACCTTCTGGTGAATTTATGAAGATTGAGAAGGTTGTGAGTTGTGAGAGTGATATGATGTGAGATGGATGCGTGTGTGCATCTGATTTTGCTTCAGGAAGAAACAGGTCTGAGTGAAAAGTGATGGTTTGAATAAACGTAGGTTTAGTTGGAAAAAATGCATCCAAACGCTAAACACCGTGTGCTGTCTCACCGAACTCTTGTGGACCCTCTTTCGGATCCGGGCCGTGGAGGATGTTGTGGTTCATCCAGATGACACTCAACGGCTGACAGGGAAGACGTAGGTGTCGAACGGAACCGGTCCAGAGTTGCCCTCGGTACACGTTGATGGTAAAGCGTTTTGTCGACGCGCTTTCTTAAGTTAATTCACTCAGAAATCAAAAGACTCAGTAATGAGTCTGCGTTAGAAGTCGCGATTCAGCTATTCTACCTGGCGTGGCAGAAACAGCGGGGGGGGGGGGGGGGGGGGGATTGAGCCCATGGGCTCCGTTCCCCGTTAGCGGTTGTTCACACGTCCTCTCTCTTTCGTTGTCAAGCACGAACTGCTATCATAAAAACTGAAACTTACCAAAAGCCTTTCTCTTCTCAAAGCAAACATGTGCGTCATCAAATGTGTCTGGAGTTTACTGTGGGAAGATGTGTGTGGGTGTGTGTGAAGGTCAGTACCAAACATTCTCAACATTATCTACTTAAGTGTGGATTCATTAATCCATTATAATTACCCCAAAGCATAAGAACCATTCATTTGATTAAACACATTTATAATGAGCAAATTGATAATGGTTACTTTAACATTAAAATCAAGAAAAAGAAGTTTAAACTTCATGTTTTGATTTGTTATGACTACTTGTCCATGAGAACTCCTTCTTCTGGTACCGCAGGTGGCAGATGTTATGGTTTCCTCCCAGACTCGCTGGCGTTCAGGTCTTAATCTGTGGGTGAAGGTTCTCAATGACCCAGCTTTGACCTCGCTGCGTCCAGCACCACCATTGTGACAGAAAACCCATATTTCCTCACGTTACACTTCTTACGGAGCCACTCCTTTGTTGCCCGGGTGGTGTGTTTGGGATCATTGTTGTGTTGGAAGACCCAGCCACGTTTCATCTTCAAAACTCTCACTGATGGAAGGAGGTTTTGGCTCAAAATCTCACGATACATGGCCCCATTCATTCTGTCCTTAACACGGATCAGTCGTCCTGTCCCCTTAGCAGAAAAACAGCCCCAAAGCATGATGTTCCCACCACCATGCTTCACAGTAGGTATGGTGTTCTTGGGATGCAACTCGGTATTCTTCTTCCTCCAAACACGACAAGTTGAGTTTATACCAAAAAGTTCTACTTTGGTTTCATTTGACCACATGACATTCTCCCAATCCTCTGCTGTATCATCCATGTGCTCTCTGGCAAACTTCAGACGGGCCTGGACATGCACTGGCTTCAGCAGCGGAACACGTCTGGCACTGCAGGATTTGATTCCCTGCCCTCGTAGTGTGTTACTGATGGTGACCTTTGTTACTGTGGTCCCAACTCTCTGCAGGTCATTCACCAGGTCCCCCCGTGTGGTTCTGGGATTCTTGCTCACCGTTCTCATGATCATTTTGACCCCACGGGATGAGATCTTGCGTGGAGCCCCAGATCGAGGGAGATTATCAGTGGTCTTGTATGTCTTCCATTATCTGATAATTGCTCCCACAGTAGATTTTTTCACACCAAGCTGCTTGCCTATTGTAGATTCACTCTTCCCAATCTGGTGCAGGTCTACAATTCTTTTCCTGGTGTCCTTCGAAAGCTCTTTGGTCTTGGCCATAGTGGAGTTTAAAGTCTGACTGTTTCAGGCTGTGGACAGGTGTCTTTTATACAGATAATGAGTTCAAACAGGTGCCATTAATACAGGTAATGAGTGGAGGACAGAAAAGCTTCTTAAAGAAGACGTTACAGGTCTGTGAGAGCCAGAGATTTTTCTTGTTTGAAGTGACCAAATACTTATTTTCCACCCTGATTTACAAATAAATTCTTTAAAAATCCTGCCATGTAAATTCATGGATTTTTTTTCACATTCTGTCTCTCACAGTTGAAGTGTACCTATGATGTAAATTACTGACCTCTGTCATCATTTTAAGTGGGAGAACTTGCACAATCGGTGGCTGACTAAATACTTTTTTGCCCCACT